CCGTCATGTCCTGCTCTAGTCTATAACACCAGCCAGAGACCCCCGTCATGTCCTGCTCTAGTCTATAACACCAGTCAGAGACCCCCGTCATGTCCTGCTCTAGTCTATAACACCAGTCAGAGACCCCCGTCATGTCCTGCTCTAGTCTATAACACCAGCCAGAGACCCACGTCATGTCCTGCTCTAGTCTATAACACCAGTCAGAGACCCCCGTCATGTCCTGCTCTAGTCTATAACACCAGTCAGACCCCCGTCATGTCCTGCTCTAGTCTATAACACCAGTCAGAGACCCCCGTCATGTCCTGCTCTAGTCTATAACACCAGCCAGAGACCCCCGTCATGTCCTGCTCTAGTCTATAACACCAGTCAGAGACCCCCGTCATGTCCTGCTCTAGTCTATAACACCAGTCAGAGACCCCCGTCATGTCCTGCTCTAGTCTATAACACCAGCCAGAGACCCCCGTCATGTCCTGCTCTAGTCTATAACACCAGTCAGACCCCCGTCATGTCCTGCTCTAGTCTATAACACCAGTCAGAGACCCCCGTCATGTCCTGCTCTAGTCTATAACACCAGCCAGACCCCCGTCATGTCCTGCTCTAGTCTATAACACCAGTCAGAGACCCCCGTCATGTCCTGCTCTAGTCTATAACACCAGTCAGAGACCCCCGTCATGTCCTGCTCTAGTCTATAACACCAGTCAGACCCCCGTCATGTCCTGCTCTAGTCTATAACACCAGTCAGAGACCCCCGTCATGTGCTGCTCTAGTCTATAACACCAGCCAGACCCCCGTCATGTCCTGCTCTAGTCTATAACACCAGTCAGACCCCCGTCATGTCCTGCTCTAGTCTATAACACCAGTCAGAGACCCCCGTCATGTCCTGCTCTAGTCCATAACACCAGTTAGAGACCCCCGTCATGTCCTGCTCTAGTCTATAACACCAGTCAGAGACCCCCGTCATGTCCTGCTCTAGTCTATAACACCAGTCAGAGACCCCCTTCATGTCCTGCTCTAGTCTATAACACCAGTCAGAGACCCCCGTCACGTCCTGCTCTAGTCTATAACACCAGCCAGAGACCCCCGTCACGTCCTGCTCTAGTCTATAACACCAGTCAGACCCCCGTCATGTCCTGCTCTAGTCTATAACACCAGTCAGACCCCTGTCATGTCCTGCTCTAGTCTATAACACCAGTCAGACCCCCGTCATGTCCTGCTCTAGTCTATAACACCAGTCAGACCCCCGTCATGTCCTGCTCTAGTCTATAACACCAGCCAGAGACCCCCGTCATGTCCTGCTCTAGTCTATAACACCAGTCAGACCCCCGTCATGTCCTGCTCTAGTCTATAACACCAGTCAGAGACCCCCGTCATGTCCTGCTCTAGTCTATAACACCAGCCAGAGACCCCCGTCATGTCCTGCTCTAGTCTATAACACCAGTCAGAGACCCCCGTCATGTCCTGCTCTAGTCTATAACACCAGCCAGAGACCCACGTCATGTCCTGCTCTAGTCTATAACACCAGTCAGAGACCCCCGTCATGTCCTGCTCTAGTCTATAACACCAGTCAGACCCCCGTCATGTCCTGCTCTAGTCTATAACACCAGTCAGAGACCCCCGTCATGTCCTGCTCTAGTCTATAACACCAGTCAGACCCCCGTCATGTCCTGCTCTAATCTATAACACCAGTCAGTGACCCCCGTCATGTCCTGCTCTAGTCTATAACACCAGTCTGAGGCTCACCACTTACCGATACAACAGGAGGATGTTGACATGTCAAATTATTATTATTTTTTAAACTTTTACTCCTTTTTCTCCCCAATTTCGTGATTTCCAATTGGTAGTTACAGTCTTGTCCCATCGCTGCAACTCCCGTACGGACTCGGGAGAGGTGAAGGTTGAGAGCCATGCATCCTCCGAAACACGACCCTGCCAAGCCGCACTGCTTCTTGACACATTTGCTCGCTTAACCCGGAAGCCAGCCGCACCAATGTGTCGGAGGAAACACCGTACAACTGGCGACCGTGTCAGTGTGCATGCGCCCGGCCCGCCACAAGGAGTCGCTAGAGCGCGATGGGACAAGGACATCCCGGCCGGCCAAACCCTCCCCTAACCCGGACGACGCTGGGCCAATTGTGCGCCGCCTCATGGTTCTCCCGGTGGCGGCCGGCTGCGACACAGCCCGGGATCGAACCCAGGTCTGTAGTGACGCCTCTAGCACTGCGATGCAGTGCCTTAGACCGCTGCGCCACTCGGGAGGCCAATTTTGACATGTCTTAAGATACCATCTCTTGCTTTAGGAGTAACACTTATATTAATAATAGTCTCACTGGAGCAGAGCACGGTCTCCATCCTGTCTAATAGTCTCACCGAGGCAGAGCACGGTCTCCATCCTGTCTAATAGTCTTACCGGGGCAGAGCACGGTCTCCATCCTGTCTAATAGTCTTACCGGGGCAGAGCACGGTCTCCATCCTGTCTAATAGTCTCACCGAGGCAGAGGACGGTCTCCATCCTGTCTAATAGTCTTACCGGGGCAGAGCACGGTCTCCATCCTGTCTAATAGTCTTACCGGGGCAGAGCACGGTCTCCATCCTGTCTAATAGTCTTACCGGGGCAGAGCACGGTCTCCATCCTGTCTAATAGTCTTACCGGGGCAGAGCATGGTCTCCATCCTGTCTAATAGTCTTACCAGGGCAGAGCACGGTCTCCATCCTGTCTATAAAGTTATCCGCCACAAGGTCAGCGAAACGCGTCATCCCCGTCACGCGATCATGCCTCTGGCACGCAATGGACTCCAGGCTCTCATGCTGTCCCTCCCGGCCGAACATGTCCCCGACCCCGATGGCGTTCACGTCCACGCTGGGGTCGGCGCAGAGGTAGGTCAGCAGAGAGTCGTCATCCCGCGGGTCGAAGCGCCCGTCCGTGATGACCACGACCGACACCTGTTATGAATGGAGCGTTAGGCCACATCAAGACAGAGTTCACTTTCCCTTCCACATGGGGGCAGCAGCAACCGTTCAGATAGGTTACAGATTATTTAGCCACAGACCCCTAGATACTGTATAGCAAGAACATACATAATCATTGGCTGGCTAAGTGGTTCACAACACACCTTGGCTCTGGTCCGCCGGCTGTCCCTGATCAGGTGGTCGTAGGCGAACTTCAGAGCGGAGGGAGTCCAGGTGCCCCCGGCTATCCACTGGAGGTTCTTCACAGCCACCTGCAAGGCAGAGATGGAGACTGTTAGCCTGCTGAGCTAAAGGCATTAGCTTGCGGAGTAGTGCCAGTCACTGAACCAGCTACATGTACCTTGAAGGCAGCGATGGAGTCTATGTTGGAGTCGTTGAGTCGGATGGCCTCGAAGGTCCCGTTGTGACTGTACTGCACAACGCCAACCCTGGTTCCTGAGGAGAGAAGAAGGGATCTATGACAATGTCTGTACCTGTGAACCAGAAGTGGTTTGGTGAACCATGCTGATGTGATGAGTCATCATCCATGAGACTTGCTTTATTGCCTGGGCTTTAGCTCAGCAGACTAACAGGAGACCCATGTCACACAGGTAGTCAGAAATTGCTGTATCTGAAGAGGTCATATTTTACCCGTCTCTGAATGTGGGTGTGTTGCCATGGAGCCCAGCCTGTTGATGGTGTTGATGACAAAGTTCTTCTCCAGGGTGAAGTTGGTCAGACCCACTGACTCTGAGCTGTCAATCACAAACACGATGTCCAGCGCCCCACACCGCTTCTCACAGTCTGCAGGGGCAACACAGAAACAGGAACAACATTGGAAACAGTTTTGGAGCTTTAAATCTTTATGCATTTCATATCCACCAAAATGCCTGTCAATCCAATACAATGTCGTTGTCCCTCGAGGGGAAATTTCATTTGGCATATCAAATCAAATCAAATTGTATTTGCCACATGCGCCGAATACAACAGCTGTAGACTTTACCGTGAAATGCTTAATTACAGCCCTTAACCAACAATGCATTTATTTTTAATAAAAAAGTAAAATAAAACAACAACAACAAAAAAGTGTTGAGAAAAAAAGAGCAGAAGTAAAATAAAGTGACAGTAGGGAGGCTATATATACAGGGGGGTACCGGTGCAGAGTCAATGTGCGGGGGCACCGGCTAGTCGAGGTAGTTGAGGTAATATGTACATGTGGGTAGAGTTAAAGTGACTATGCATAAATAATTAACAGAGTAGCAGCAGCGTAAAAAGATGGGGTGGGGGGGGGGGCAGTGCAAATAGTCCGGGTAGCCATGATTAGCTGTTCAGGAGTCTTATGGCTTGGGGGTAGAAGCTGTTGAGAAGCCTTTTGGACCTAGACTTGGCGCTCCGGTACCGCTTGCCGTGCGGTAGCAGAGAGAACAGTCTATGACTAGGGTGGCTGGAGTCTTTGACAATTTTGAGGGCCTTCCTCTGGGGGCCTTCCTCTGGGGGCCTTCCTCTGAGGGCCTTCCCCTGAGGGCCTTCCTCTGAGGGCCTTCCTCTGAGGGCCTTCCTCTGGGGGCCTTCCCCTGAGGGCCTTCCTCTGAGGGCCTTCCTCTGAGGGCCTTCCTCTGAGAGCCTTCCTCTGAGGGCCTTCCTCTGAGGGCCTTCCTCTGAGGGCCTTCCTCTGGGGGCCTTCCTCTGAGGGCCTTCCTCTGAGGGCCTTCCCCTGAGGGCCTTCCTCTGGGGGCCTTCCCCTGAGGGCCTTCCCCTGAGGGCCTTCCTCTGAGGGCCTTCCTCTGAGGGCCTTCCTCTGAGGGCCTTCACATAGAAGACAACATACCCGGATATCATCATCATCACTTACCACAACAACCACATGTCTCTCTGATGTAGCTCATGACATCACAGTCCTAAAATCAAAACCAGGAACAGATCAGTATTATAATCTAATACAATCAGACTCTACAGGATCAGATCAGTAGTATTTTTAATCAGATATGACACTACAAAAACAGGTTGAATGTCTTCATATTAGGATGTTTTAATATAAAGTTTACACAGTTGACTTACAGAAAGGCCAGGGTCTCCCTCTGGTCCAGGATCACCCTGTAAGAAAAAAGTGTACCGATGGGTAAACAGACATTGAGGGGAGCTTGAACAGTAAGCATAATGTTCTTCTACAGTTGTAATGTCTGATCAGAGTCTGAGTAACGCAGCCAGCCGCTGATGACTGTCTTACAGGAGCCCCAGGTCCTCCTCTGGCTCCTCTCCTCCCATCCACTCCCTGTTGACCTGGATGCCCCTGGACAACAACAACACAAAGACAGGTTCTTCAGTGACTTCAGTGAGCCCAAACACGTTACTCAGCTCACCACTTCTCAAGAATAGAACACAAACGTGTTCTTTAGAGCACTGACTCCTCCCTTCCAGAATGCTCTAAGGTTAGCAACTACCAGGGTAACCCTGAACTTCACCACTTAAAGATGCACTCTGGGATCTTAAGCACAACATTCCTAACATATTGCACAAATTGGATGACGTCGTACACAACTGGATGACGTAGTACACAACTGGATGACGTAGTACACAACTGGATGACGTAGTACACAACTGGATGACGTAGTACACAACTGGATGACGTAGTACACAACTGATGGATAATGGATATAAACTAATCCTAGGCTAACTATCCACATTAATGGATATAAACTAATCCTAGGCTAACCATCCACATTAATGGATATAAACTAATCCTAGGCTAACTATCCACATTAATGGATATAAACTAATCCTAGGCTAACCATCCACATTAATGGATATAACATCTTCCAAGTGTATATTCAGCTGTTCACGACAGCAGCTGGAGCTTACCGGTTCACCATTTGGTCCTTTCTTCCCAGCTTCTCCTTTGCTGCCACAGTTCCCTCTGCTTCCCAAAGGGCCTGGATGTCCTTTATCCCCTCTGACTCCCTGACATACATACAGACAGACAGACAGACAGACAGACAGACAGACAGACAGACAGACAGACAGACAGCATCACAATACAACAGTATTTTGAACTCTTGAGCTGACCACATTCATCTTGTCAAATGTCAAACTGTACCGTTTCTCCTCTTTGTCCAGGATAGTTGAACCCATCTCTTCCTTTGTCACCCTAAAACACAGAAGATGATGAACTACATTACACTGTGGGAAGTGTCCACTAACTACATTACACTGTGGGAAGTGTCCACTAACTATATTACACTGTGGGAAGTGTCCACTAAGGAAAGGGCCTTCCCCAAACTGTTGCCACAAAGTTGGAAGCACAGAATCATCTAGAATGTCATTGTATGTTGTAGCGTTAAGATTTCCCTTCACTGGAACTAAGGGGCCTAGCCCGAACCGTGAAAAACAGCCCCAGACCATTATTCATCTTCCACCAAACTTTAGAGTTGGCACTATGCATTGGGGCAAGTAGAGTTCTCCTGGCATCCGCCAAACCCAGATTCGTCTGTCGGACTGCCAGATGGTGAAGCGTGATTCATCACTCCAGAGAACGCGTTTCCACTGCTCCAGAGTCCAATGGCGGCGAGCTTTACACCACTCCAGCCGACGCTTGGCATTGCGCATGGCGATCTTAGGCTTGTGTGCGGCTGCTCGGCCATGGAAACCCATTTCATGAAGCTCCCGACGAACAGTTCTTGTGCTGACATTGCTTCCAGAGGCAGTTTGGAACTCGGTAGTGAGTGTTGCAACCAAGAACAGCGCTACGCAACCAGGACAGGCGATTTTTATGCGCTACGTGCTTCAGCGGTCCTGTTCTGTGAGCTTGTGTGGCTGAGCTGTTCTGTGAACACTTCGCGGCTGAGCCGTTGTTGCTCCTAGACGTTTCCACTTCACAATAACAGCACTTACAGTTGACTGGGGCAGATCTAGCAGGGCAGACATTTGACGAACTGACTTCTTGGAAAGGTGGCATCCTATGATGGTGCCACGTTGAAAGTCACTGAGCTCTTCAGTAAGGCGATTCTACTGCCAATACTTTTGCACATATAGTGTATATTATAATTCAACACTACCTTAGGGTTGGATTATATAGATCCTGGACCAATCTTTGGGTCAGGATCTACACTACCAGTCCAAAGTTTGGACACACCTACTCATTCAAGAGTTTTTCTTTATTTTGACTATTTTCTACATTGTAGAATAATAGTGAAGACATCAAAACTATGAAATAACACATGGAATCATGTAGTAACCAAAAAAGTGTTAAACAAATCAAAATATATTTGAGATTCTTCAAATAGCCACCCTTTGCCTTGATGACAGCTTTGCACACTCTTGGCATTCTCTCAACCAGCTTCACCTGGAATGCTTTTCCAACAGTCTTGAAGGAGTTCCCACATATGCTGAGCACTTGTTGGCTGCTTTTCCTTCACTCTGCGGTCCGACACCGCGTGGCTGCTGCCTCTCCAACCTGGTGGTCCCTGCACGCACCACCCACGTGGAGTTCCAGGTCGCAGGCAGCCTCTGGAACTGCCGTTCTGCTGCCAACAAAGCTGACTTCATCCCAGCCTATGCCAACCTCCAGTCCCTCGACTTCCTGGCGCTGACGGAAACATGGATCACCACTGAAAACACCGCTACTCCTACTGCTCTCTCCTCGTCTGACCATGTGTTCTCGCATACCCCGAGAGCATCTGGTCAGAGGGGTGGTGGTACAGGAATCCTCATCTCTCCCAAGTGGACATTCTCAATTTTTCCCCTAACCCATCTGTCTATCTCCTCATTTGAATTCCATGCTGTCACAGTCACTAGCCCATTTAAGCTTAATATCCTTGTCATCTATCGCCCTCCAGGTTCCCTTGGAGAGTTCATCAATGAGCTTGACGCCTTGATAAGTTCCTTCCCTGAGGATGGCTCACCCCTCACAGTTTTGGGGGATTTCAACCTCCCTATGTCCACATTTGACTCATTTCTCTCTGCCTCCTTCTTTCCACTCCTCTCCTCTTTTGACCTCACCCTCTCACCGTCCCCCCCTACTCACAAGGCAGGCAATACGCTTGACCTCATCTTCACTAGATGCTGCTCCTCTACTAATCTCACTGCAACTCCCCTCCATGTCTCCGACCACTACTTTGTTTCCTTTTCTCTCTCACTCTCCTCCCACACTACTCACTCTGCCCCTACACAGATGGTAATGCGCCGCCGCAACCTTCGCTCTCTCTCTCCCACTACTCTCTCCTCTTCCATCCTATCATCTCTTCCCTCTGCTCAATCCTTCTCCCTCCAATCTCCTGATTCTGCCTCCTCAACCCTCCTCTCCTCCCTTTCTGCATCCTTTGACTCTCTGTGTCCCCTATCCTCCTGGCCGGCTCGGTCCTCCCCTCCAGCTCTGTGGCTTGATGACTCATTGCGAGCTCACAGAACAGAGCTCCGGGCAGCGGAGCGGAAATGGAAGAAAACTAAACTCCCTGCCGACCTGGCATCTTTTCACTCCCTCCTCTCTACATTTTCTTCATCTGTTTCTGCTGCTAAGGCCACCTTCTACCACTCTAAATTCCAAGCATCTGCCTCTAACCCTAGGAAGCTCTTTGCCACATTTTCCTCCCTCCTGAATCCTCCCCCCCCCCCCCCCCTCCTCTCTCTCTGTGGATGACTTCGTCAACCACTTTGAAAAGAAGGTTGACGACATCCGATCCTCGTTTGTTAAGTCTGTCCGATCCTCGTTTGTTAAATGACACTGCTGGTCCTGCTCACACTGCCCTACCCTATGCTTTGACTTCTTTCTCCCCTCTCTCTCCAGATAAATCCTGCGACTTGTGACTGCAGGCCGCCCAACAACCTGCCCGCTTGACCCCATCCCCTCCTCCCTTCTCCAGACCATCTCCGGTGACCTTCTCCCCTACCTCACCTCGCTGATCAACTCATCCTTGACCGCTGGCCATGTCCCTTCCGTCTTCAAGAGAGCGAGAGTTACTCCCCTTCTCAAAAAACCAACACTCGACCCCACTGATGTCAACAACTACAGACCAGTATCCCTTCTTTCTTTTCTTTCCAAAACTATTGAGCGTGCCGTCTTTAGCCAACTCTCTTGCTATCTCTCTCAGAATGACCTTCTTGATCCAAACCAATCAGGTTTCAGGACTGGTCATTCAACTGAGACTGCTCTTCTCTGTGTCACGGAGACTCTCCGCACTGCTAAAGCTAACTCTCTCTCCTCTGCTCTTGTCCTTCTAGACCTGTCTGCTGCCTTTGATACTGTGAACCATCAGATCCTCCTCTCCACCCTCTCCGAGATGGGCATCTCCGGCGCGGCTCACTCCTGGATTGCGTCCTACCTGACCGGTCGCTCCTACCAAGTGGCGTGGCGGGAAGCTGTCTCCGCACCACGTGCTCTCACCACTGGTGTCCCCCAGGGATCGGTTCTGGGCCCTCTCCTTTTCTCCCTATACACCAAGTCACTTGGCTCTGTCATATCCTCACATGGCCTTTCCTATCATTGCTACGCTGACGATACACAACTAATCTTCTCCTTTCCCCCTTCTGATAACCAGGTGGCGAATCGCATCTCTGCATGTCTGGCAGACATATCAGTATGGATGACGGATCACCACCTCAAGCTGAACCCTGGCAAGACGGAGCTGCTCTTCCTCCCGGGGAAGGACTGCCCGTTCCATGATCTCGCCATCACGGTTGACAACTCCGCTGTGTCCTCCTCCCAGAGTGCGAAGAGCCTAGGCGTGACCCTGGACAACACCCTGTCGTTCTCCGCCAACATCAAGGCGGTGACCCGCTCCTGCAGGTTCATGCTCTACAACATTCGGAGAGTGCGACCCTGCCTTACACAGGAAGCGGCGCAGGTCCTGGTCCAGGCACTTGTCATCTCCCGTCTGGACTACTGCAACTCGCTGTTGGCTGGGCTCCCTGCCTGTGCCATTAAACCCCTACAACTCATCCAGAATGCCGCAGCCCGTCTGGTGTTCAACCTTCCCAAGTTCTCTCACGTCACCCCCCTCCTCCGCACACTCCACTGGCTTCCAGTTGAAGCTCGCATCCGCTACAAGACCATGGTGCTTGCCTATGGAGCAGTGAGGGGAACGGCACCTCTGTACCTTCAGGCTCTGATCAGTCCCTACACCCAAACAAGGACATTGCGTTCATCCACCTCTGGCCTGCTGGCTCCCCTTCCTCTGCGGAAGCATAGCTCCCGCTCAGCCCAGTCAAAACTGTTCGCTGCTCTGGCACCCCAATGGTGGAACAAGCTCCCTCACAACGCCAGGACAGCGGAGTCACTCACCACCTTCCGGAGACATTTGAAACCCCACCTCTTTAAGGAATACCTGGGATAGGATAAAGTATTCCTTCTAACCCCCCCCAAATTGTAAAGTGGTTATCCCACTGGCTATAGGGTGAACGCACCAATTTGTGAGTCGCTCTGGCTAAGAGCGTCTGCTAAATGACGTTAATGTGCCCTTGAGCAAGGCACTTAACCCTAATTGCTCCTGTAAGTCGCTCTGGTTAAGAGCGTCTGCTAAATGACTAAAATGTAAATGTAAATGACTCATCCCAAACCATCTCAATTGGGTTGAGGTCAGGGGATTGTAGAGGCCAGGTCATCTGATGCAGCACTCCATCACTCTCCTTCTTGGTAAAATAGCCCTTACACAGCCTGGAGGTGTGTTGGGTCATTGTCCTGTTGAAAAACAAATGACATTCCCACTAAGCCCAAACCAGATGGGATGGCGTATCGCTGCAGAATGCTGTGGTAGCCATGCTGGTTAAGTGTGCCTTGAATTCTAAATCAATCACAGACAGTTTCACCAGCATAGCACCCCCACACCATAACACCTCCTCCTCCATGCTTTACGGTGGGAGCTACACATGCAGAGATCATCCGTTCACCCACACCGCGTCTCACAAAGACACGGCGGTTTGAACCAAAAATCTCAAATTTGGAGTCCAGACCAAAGGACAGATTTCCACCGGTCTAATGTCCATTGCTCGTGTTTCTTGGCCCAAGCAAGTCTCTTCTTCTTATTGGTGTCCTTTAGTAAGTGGTTTCTTTGCAGCAATTCGACATTGAAGGCCTGATTCACACAGTCTCCTCTGAACAGTTGATGTTGAGATGTGTCTGTTACTTGAACTCTGTGAAGCATTTATTTGGGCTGCAATTTCTGAGGCTGGTAACTCTAATGAGCTTGACCTCTGCAGCAGAGGTAACTCTGGGTCTTCCATTCCTGTGGCAGTCCTCATGAGAGCCAGTTGTATCATACCTCTTGATGGTTTTTGCAACTGCACTTGAAGAAACTTTAAAAGTTCTTGAAATGTTCAGTATTGACTGACCTTCATGTCTTAAAGTAATGATGGACTGTCATTTCTCTTTGCTTATTTGAGCTTTTCTTGCCATAATATGGACTTGGTCTTTTACCAAATATGGCTATCTTCTGTATACCCCACTAGCTTGTCACAACACAACTGATTGGCTCACATGTAGTATATTAACATTATGACTATTCTAGAGGAACAAAGAGGGGATGTTTATCTTAGTGCAAAAGTAGTCATTTGTAGAGTGACGCCCCAGGGGAGACAGGTGATTGGACAGCAGAGGGAGCAACCCATATTTTTGCATTGTTTATAAGAATATGCTGGAGGGAGAGGGGGTCAGAAACAGACAGATTATTTTGGGACGCTGTTTCTCCAGACACTGCGGGTCTGTAAACTTATGCTGACATCTTGTGATATGAATAAAACTTCTAATCAAAGTGCAGCCTAAGCGGACTCTTTGTTTGACAGCAATGAGCACCAGCAGCGACAAGATACACTACACGCATTAAGAAGGAAATAAATTCCACAAATTAACTTTAAGAAGGTAAACCTGCTAATTGAAATGCATTCCAGGTGACTACCTCATGAAGCTGGTTGAGAGAATGCCAAGAGTGTGCAAAGCTGTCATCAAGGCAAAGAATCTCAAAAATAAAATATATTTTGATTTGTTTAACACTTTTTTGGTTACTACATGATTCCATATGTGTTATTTCATAGTTTTGAAGTCTTCACTATTATTCTACAATGTATAAAATAGTTGAATTAGTAGGTGTGTCCAAACTTTTGACTGGTACTGTATATAACCCAAACCAACCTTTGGTCCAGGATCTATATTGTAACCCAACCCCACTTTTAGTCAAGGATCTACATGACTCAATCCCACCTTTGGTCCAGAATGTATATTATAACTCAATCCCACCTTTGATCCAGGATCTACAGTATATAACCCAACCCTACCTTTGGTCCAGGATCTATATAACCCAACCCTAGGTCCAGGATCTATATAACCCAACACTAGGTCCAGGATGTATATAACCCAACCCTACCTTTGGTCCAGGATCTATATAACCCAACCCTAGGTCCAGGATCTATATAACCCAACACTAGGTCCAGGATCTATATAACCCAACCCTAGGTCCAGGATCTATATAACCCAACACTAGGTCCAGGATCTATATAACCCAACACTAGGTCCAGGATCTATATAACCCAACCCTAGGTCCAGGATCTATATAACCCAACCCTAGGTCCAGGATCTATATAACCCAACCCTACCTTTGGTCCAGGATCTATATAACCCAACCCTAGGTCCAGGATCTATATAACCCAACACTAGGTCCAGGATCTATATAACCCAACCCTACCTTTGGTCCAGGATCTATATAACCCAACCCTAGGTCCAGGATCTATATAACCCAACACTAGGTCCAGGATCTATATAACCCAACCCTACCTTTGGTCCAGGATCTATATAACCCAACACTAGGTCCAGGATCTATATAACCCAACACTAGGTCCAGGATCTATATAACCCAACCCTACCGTTGGTCCAGGATCTATATAACCCAACCCTAGGTCCAGGATCTATATAACCCAACACTAGGTCCAGGATCTATATAACCCAACCCTAGGTCCAGGATCTATATAACCCAACCCTAGGTCCAGGATCTATATAACCCAACCCTACCTTTGGTCCAGGATCTATATAACCCAACCCTAGGTCCAGGATCTATATAACCCAACCCTAGGTCCAGGATCTATATAACCCAACCCTAGGTCCAGGATCTATATAACCCAACACTAGGTCCAGGATCTATATAACCCAACCCTACCTTTGGTCCAGGATCTATATAACCCAACCCTAGGTCCAGGATCTATATAACCCAACACTAGGTGCAGGATCTATATAACCCAACCCTACCTTTGGTCCAGGATCTATATAACCCAACACTAGGTCCAGGATCTATATAACCCAACACTAGGTCCAGGATCTATATAACCCAACCCTACCGTTGGTCCAGGATCTATATAACCCAACCCTAGGTCCAGGATCTATATAACCCAACACTAGGTCCAGGATCTATATAACCCAACCCTAGGTCCAGGATCTATATAACCCAACCCTAGGTCCAGGATCTATATAACCCAACCCTAGGTCCAGGATCTATATAACCCAACACTAGGTCCAGGATCTATATAACCCAACCCTAGGTCCAGGATCTATATAACCCAACCCTAGTTCCAGGATCAATATAACCCAACCCTAGGTCCAGGATCTATATAACCCAACCCTACCTTTGGTCCAGGATCTATATAACCCAACCCTAGGTCCAGGATCTATATAAACCAACCCTAGGTCCAGGATCTATATAACCCAGCCCTACCTTTGGTCCAGGATCTATATAACCCAACCCTACCTTTGGTCCAGGATCTATATATCCCAACCCTAGGTCCAGGATCTATATAACCCAACCCTAGGTCCAGGATCTATATAACCCAACCCTACCTTTGGTCCAGGATCTATATAACCCAACCCTAGGTCCAGGATCTATATAACCCAACACTAGGTCCAGGATCTATATAACCCAACCCTAGGTCCAGGATCTATATAACCCAACCCTAGGTCCAGGATCTATATAACCCAACACTAGGTCCAGGATCTATATAACCCAACCCTACCTTTGGTCCAGGATCTATATAACCCAACCCTAGGTCCAGGATCTATATAACCCAACACTAGGTCCAGGATCTATATAACCCAACCCTAGGTCCAGGATCTATATAACCCAACCCTAGGTCCAGGATCTATATAACCCAACCCTAGGTCCAGGATCTATATAACCCAACCCTAGGTCCAGGATCTATATAACCCAACCCTAGGTCCAGGATCTATATAACCCAACCCTAGGTCCAGGATCTATATAACCCAACACTAGGTCCAGGATCTATATAACTCAACACTAGGTCCAGGATCTATATAACCCAACCCTAGGTCCAGGATCTATATAACCCAACCCTAGGTCCAGGATCTATATAACCCAACCCTAGGTCCAGGATCTATATAACCCAACCCTAGGTCCAGGATCTATATAACCCAACCCTAGGTCCAGGATCTATATAACCCAACACTAGGTCCAGGATATATATAACCCAACCCTAGGTCCAGGATCTATATAACCCAACCCTAGGTCCAGGATCTATATAACCCAACCCTAGGTCCAGGATCTATATAACCCAACACTAGGTCCAGGATCTATATAACCCAACCCTAGGTCCAGGATCTATATAACCCAACCCTAGGTCCAGGATCTATATAACCCAACCTTTGGTCCAGGATCTATATAACCCAACCTTTGGTCCAGGATCTCCATGAGGTCCAGTCTGTCCAGGATCGCCAGTCTCTCCAGCAGCACCCTGTAACACAGAGATGCCATACTGAGTACTATCTGCATAAAGTATTCAAGTTCCTTTTTTTAATTTATTTTTTAATTTACCCACATGGCAGTCATAGTCACTGAAATACATATGTATAGACTACCATCAATAAATAAACAATTTCCAAAATGTAGATGTATTTATTTAACCTTTATTTAGATGAGAAGACTGTCGCAGTATGCTCAAAATGTAGACATGGCAACAGCCAAACAATAAGATCAGAACAGGAGGATATCTTAGAATAGAGTAGAGTAGAGTAGTAGTAGTAGTGGTGGTAGTAGTAGTAGTAGTAGTAGTAGTAGTAGCAGTAGTAGTAGTAGTAGTAGCAGTAGTAGTAGTAGTAGTAGTAGCAGTAGTAGCGTAGTAGTAGCAGTAGCAATATTAGTAGCAGTAGAGTAGTATAAGCAGTATCATACCAGTAGTAACGATAGTAGAGTAGTGGTCGTAGAGTAGCATTAGTCATAGTAGCAACATACCATCGGTCCATCTGGTCCATTATCTCCATGATGTCCTCTTGGACCTGGCAGCCCTGGACCTCCCTAAACAAACAGAGGGAGGGGACACGCACACGCACACGCACACGCACACGCACACGCACACGCACACACACACACACACACAGAGAGAGAAGAGGCCAGGAAAAGGGCAACCAGTGAAGATCAAACACCATTGTAAATTCAACCCATATGTTATGATGTCTTTTCATGGTGTTGTGGGAACAATTATCCAGGCTCTGTCGTAGCCGGCCGCGACCGGGAGACCCATGGGGCGGCGCACAATTGGCCCAGCGTCGTCCAGGGGAGGGGAGGGAATGGCCGGCAGGGATGTAGCTCAGTTGGTAGAGCATGGCGTTTGCAACGCCAGCGTTGTGGGTTCGATTCCCACGGGGGGTATAAAAGATAATGTATGCACTCACTAACTGTAAGTCGCTCTGGATAAGAGCGTCTGCTAAATGATTAAAATGTAAATGTAAACAAGGTTACATTTACTAGATAAGTGACTCTTGGTGCCTCAGAGTCTGAATAACAAGGATTCCAGTATATCGAGGGAGATTACTGGGGTTTATCTTAGAATGATTGATAGATAGAATATACTGACTTGGGGTACAAGATAATACCATCAAAGGAGGGAGTGCCCACTGATGGTTAACAGATGTTGTTGAAGAAACGTGTAACATGAAGTATATAAACTGAGAGGTTTTCTTTGTCTAGGAGTTCGGATGACAAGAGGCAAAGCATGTGCCATTTGTTAGACGAACCCGGTACTGTATCTATTAAATATTATGTATTAACTCCCCTTGTAATTGTTTAAGTATATTCTTGCATCCTGAATTACTTGACACCAGAGAAACTCATCATAACACCATATTTATGTTTATTTATTTTCCCTTTCGTATCTTAACTATTTGCACAGCGTTACAACACTGTATATAGACATAATATGACATTTGAAATGTCTTTATTATTTTGGAACTTCTGAGTAGAGACAGAGAGAGAGACAGAGACAGAGACAGAGACAGAGAGACAGAGACAGAGACAGAGACAGAGAGAGAGAGAGAGAGAGAGAGAGAGAGAGAGAGAGAGAGAGAGAGAGAGAGAGAGAGAGAGAGAGAGAGAGAGAGAGAGAGAGAGAGAGAGAGAGAGAGAGAGAGAGAGAGAGAGAGAGAGAGATGTACCCAAACTTGCTTCAGCCCAGTTTAAACAAAAAAGGGGAATCAGGTGCTGAGGTCTTGAAAATCCCTAAAACAGCTTCTCATTAGCTCTGGAATGGCTTCATCTCAAAACTCATCATTACTCATTTTGACATGCATTTGGAATCACTGACTACAGTACAAATATGAACAATTTAGAATAATTAATAACATCCTTAAAATATCAATATTGTGTAATATGTGTGGGTTGAAAGATATTGGTATTTCAGCCCGAATGATTTGTCAGTGCACCAAGAATTCCAATGTTCTATGAAAGAAGGAGTGTACTGTATCTTAGTGAGAAACCCCCTGTGTTGTCTGTCTATGTTTCCATGGGAGTTACTGCTGAATCATGTACCCAGAATGCAAAATTCTCTTCTCCGTTTCTCTGACCTTAGATCCTTTGAGGCCGATATCCCCATGAGGACCTGGCTTCCCTTGTAGACCAGGTTCACCCTGGGAATGACAGAATACATTAGGCTTAGTTTGAACTCAATATTCATGGACAAATATTTACACAAACAGACATCATATTTTCAGTCAGCCATTGTTTTTGTTATGGGCAGTTTGCCTGGAATCTGTCTGAATGCAGCAGGAACTGAAACAGACTTCAACTGTATTGTATCTATTGGTATTACAGAATGTACACGCTTAGAAATTAAGGTTCCAAAAAGGTTCTTCGACTGTTCCCGTCGGAGAACCCTTTTAAGAACCCTTTTGGGTTCCATGTACAACATTTAGAAACCTCTGCGGAAAGGGTTCTACATTTTCAATGGTTCTCCCACTGGGATCTAGGTGGGAAAATACATTTCTAAGAGTGTAGCATAACATTTCCTATATAGTATGTCCTGTATCACACAACCACCCTGTGAACGGTGACAGACCTCGCCTCCTTTAGGTCCAGCTCGTCCATGAAGTCCCTTAGGTCCAGGGTCTCCTGGTCGCCCCTAACGACAGACATGTAGACAATATTTATTGTTTAACAAAAGCCATCCCTTTGCATTTAATATTTAACTTATCATTTCAGAATGTATCACTTAGCCAAGTCAGCGTACAGGTTGGCCTTTTGGTCCCGGTCCACCGTTGAGTCCCTGAAAGAATCAGGAATTAGGAATCAGTTAGTTTAGATTGAAGAACTACTGCACTACTGAACTACTGAACTACTGAACTACTGCACTACTGAACTACTGAACTAAAGCACTACTGAACTACTGAACTACTGTACTACAGCACTACTGAACTACTGAACTACTGAACTACTGAACTACTGCACTACTGAACTACTGAACTAAAGCACTACTGAACTACTGAACTACTGTACTACAGCACTACTGAACTACTGAACTACTGCACTACTGAACTACTGAACTAAAGCACTACTGAACTACTGAACTACTGTACTACAGCACTACTGAACTACTGAACTACTGCACTACTGAACTACTGAACTAAAGCACTACTGAACTACTGAACTACTGTACTACAGCACTACTGAACTACTGAACTACTGAACTACTGCACTACTGAACTACTGAACTAAAGCACTACTGAACTACTGAACTACTGCACTACTGAACTACAGCACTACTGAACTACTGAACTACTGAACTACAGCACTACTGAACTACTGAACTACTGAACTACTGAACTACTGAACTACTGAACTACAACACTACTGAACTACAGCACTACTGAACTACTGAACTACTGCACTACTGAACTACAGCACTACTGAACTACTGAACTACTGAACTACTGAACTACAACACTACTGAACTACAGCACTACTGAACTACTGAACTACTGCACTACTGAACTACTGAACTAAAGCACTACTGCACTACAGCACTACTGAACTACTGAACTACTGCACTACTGAACTACAGCACTACTGAACTACTGAACTACTGCACTACTGAACTACTGCACTACTGAACTACTGAACTACTGCACTACTGAACTACTGCACTACTGAACTACTGAACTACAGCACTACTGAACTACAGCACTACTGAACTACTGCACTACTGAACTACAGCACTACTGAACTACTGAACTACTGAACTACTGCACTACTGAACTACAGAACTACTGAACTACAGCACTACTGAACTACTGAACTACTGAACTACTGAACTACTGAACTACAGCACTACTGAACTACTGCACTACTGAACTACTGAACTACTGATCCAATGAACTACAGCACTACCGTACTAATGATAAGGATAGCCAGGTCTATGTAAGTCACTTCTAATGATAAGGATAGCCAGGTCTATGTAAGTCACTCACTGGTTTTCCTTTTATTCCCGGTGAGCCTGGAATTCCAGGGCTTCCTGGATAACTCTGCAAGGAAGAAGAACGATTAGAGGATGTGTCAATGTGATAACAACTGACTCTTCATGTCATCTTCAGAGAGAGAATCCTCCTTGAGTTGTGATGTCGTTAGCTAGCGTACCTTACATCTGCATGTATTGTATTGTTGTTACTGTTAGGTCCAGGTGAGAGTGTATTATGATGCCATTACTGTACCGGTAGTCCAGCTTCTCCAGGAGGTCCAGCGGGACCTGGTTTGCCATTATGACCAGGGTCTCCCTAGAATCATCAACATTCACACATTAAACACAGTGGTCTATAAAAAACTGTACATAAACTAAGTTTAGTAAACGCAGTTGTCTTTAAAACACTACATAAACTAAGTCTGGAGTTTCTGTGGTACAGGAGGTATTGTAGTAGCCTTGACGGACTGAGGGTTCTCTCAGGTACCTTCTCTCCGTGGTCACCGGGCGGTCCTATATCACCAGCACTTCCCGGATGACCATCTGGGCCCTTTCAAAAACATCAGTAGTAAGAGGCCATTCCTTGTTATCACATCAACATTTTACTGCATTCATTATTGTGTGTGTGTGTGTGTGTGTGTACTGTATACGTAACGTACTGTAGGATAACGTTTTACTTACCCTTTCACCCGGATCTCCTTTACAACCATAAGTTCCGATCCGACCAATTTTACCCTGAGAATGACCACAGAAAAGATTCCTATTAGTATCAAATTAAATTAAAACAAATCAAATCCATTTTTTTTTTAGCAGATGTTATTGCGGGTGTAGCGAATTGCTTGTATCCACATTAATCAACCCTCCCGTATAGACCCAATGGGCCTGGACCCGAGTGACAGGTTGGTGGTCATCTTCTCAGGGTTCCCCTTGGCTCCTGTTACAGTTCAAGGGGAAGTGTGGCAGCACCTCGTACCTTCTGCCCATCTGTCCCATCCCTGCCGTGTTCTCCTGACACTCCCTGGTGATTGAGACGTCATTCAGAGTGTTAAAATAGGAAAGTATAGCATATCCGGTAAGAAATAGAAGTGAAGGCGTACACACTCAGAACGTTTATGTCAGAATCAATAGTGTAGTTTACCTTGGTTCCACCTGATCCAAATTCACCCTGGGGAAAGATCAAATCCGTGTCTCGTTTAAAAATGTTGATTAAAAAAATGATAAGATTTACACATGATAATTACTAGAATAATGTTGAGTTATTCTTACCTTTTCACCTTTCAGACCAATCGCACCCTAAACAGAAGCAAACAAAGACAGGTTGAAAAAAATAGTCCGGATCCACTATAAGGTGAATATCTGTATTGGTTAGGGAGGAAAGCCAGACACACACCAACCTTGTGACCTGCGGGACCAATCGGACCTTCAATACCAGAGTCCCCCTGAACACAAATAATAAAAACATTATCATCTACATTCTTTGGAAGAAAATATATATATATTTTTTTATATGGAAATATATATAAATGTCTAGGTTCCCTTGTCAGTGTTTCTGTAGTCAGAACACCTACCTGTTTTCCTTTGGTTCCTTTAGCGCCTGAAAGCCCAACTCCTCCTTTCACTCCCTAAAATAAACAGATGCATTAAAATAAACATAAACAAACTCTTCATAAAACAAACATGAATAAACACATTTCATTCTTGCAAAAATCTCAGATGTTTTACTTAATTAAGGAAGCTCACCTTTGGTCCTGGGTTTCCCTTCGGACCTGGGGGACCTGGAAGCTCCAGACACTGGAGTTTGGAACACTGGAGAATTCATGGAGAAAAACATTGTGAAGTAAACAGCGTTACATACAAGGAAAATGAAGATATATCCGTTGGATAGAAATGTTCAGAAGCATCAGGTTACAGACTCTTAGTTACCTGCAGATAGGCTTGATATTTCTGTAGAGAAGTGGAAACAAAAAGACTTGAAGATGTTTGTTTTGGAAAAACTGGTATCAAAAATAGAATACTAAATGAAATATCTAGGGCTGTCAGCGTTATTCAGTTAACTCTAGTTCACTTTTTGTAATTTTAGTGCACATTTTTAATTGCACATTTTTAAATAAAGTGTGATTTCTCAATTTTCCTACTTTAGACAAAATCAAGATGTCAATATTTTTGTAATGTTTTTTTGTATGAAAAATCTTAAAATACAGCACACTTTGACCAAAATTCGGAATTTGCGATTAATAGCAAATCGTTTGACAGCCCTAGATATATGATCATAGAAAATGTTTCAGACATGAATATTCAAAGCTGGATAAAACACTACATATAATCACCATAGCTTTGATAATGTTGTTGATGGATGATGTGACTATTTTCCCAGTGGAGGAGTCACATGGTGGACTGTGACAGGCTTTAAGGTCTGGGTTGAGCAGGCACAGTGAAACAGAGGCAGACAACAAAAGGACAGTTTTCAACATTACATTTTTTAAGGCATGTTTTCCATTATTTAGTTCCAAACACATTCCAGTCCCCATTTTCGTTCAATTGCTTTGCTTCTATAAATATAATTTATCTTACTTTTGAACTGTAACTACTATGCTAGTTTAAATCAGACAAACAAACAAACCAAGAAAATAAAAAGGGATACAGGAAGTGATGCAGCCCAGGAGGCAGGCGTCCATTTTCTCAAAATCTCCATAGCTCAAACAACTCCATTATCCACGTGATCTCAACAAACAAAGCAGTCACATCCTAAAAACCCTGGGATCCAGCATGCCTCTAGACTGCATTCACTTCCTGTGGGCAGCTGTCCACAACCCAAAAAAAAAAAAAAAACTGGGGGGTTTAAATACACAGAGTTAGGATGACATGATCTGTCAATTAACCAATTAAATGACGTGTTAGGTTAAACATGCAAATGAGTCCCACCTGTGACATTGACAGCCATGTAGTCGGAGCGGTAGACCCCTGCAGGAGAGCTAGCGATCAGCCCCATCCCTGCTTCCTCCACCACCTTGGAAGCAGCTACTGAGAACAAGCTGATGCGCTGTGATTGGTCAAATCAAATCAACTATTTCAAGAGCATTTCCAATCAATACATTTACAGTAAAACAACAAGCGAAAATAATAAAATGGATTAATAAAGTAATATAAAACAAGATGAATAAACAGTAACATCACTGACCTGTACAGCAACATCACTGACCTGTACAGCAACATCACTGACCTGTACAGCAACATCACTGACCTGTACAGCAACATCACTGACCTGTACAGCAACATCACTGACCTGTACAGCAACATCACTGACCTATACAGTAACATCACTGATTAAAGGCTAAAAATATGGATTTGCAAACTTGATTTAAAGACCTGTACTGCGTCTGCCCCTCGATTTAAAGACCTGTACTGCGTCTGCCCCTCGATTTAAAGACCTGCATTGCGTCTGCCCCTCGATTTAAAGACCTGTACTGCGTCTGCCCCTCGATTTAAAGACCTGCATTGCGTCTGCCCTTCGATTTAAAGACCTGTACTGCGTCTGCCCCTCGATTTAAAGACCTGCATTGCGTCTGCCCCTCGATTTAAAGACCTGTACTGCGTCTGCCCCTCGATTTAAAGACCTGTACTGCGTCTGCCCCTCGATTTAAAGACCTGTACTGTGTCTGCCCCTCGATTTAAAGACCTGTACTGTGTCTGCCCCTCGATTTAAAGACCTGTACTGTGTCTGCCCCTCGATTTAAAGACCTGTACTGTGTATGCCCCTCGTACCTGGTCTCTAGCCCGTTCTGCAGACACCTTGACCCCCCCACAGGGGGCACCAGTCACATGGCCGTCAGTGACCACCACAGCGAAGCGGACAGAGTTGTGTCCCCGGAGATCGTGGCGCTGCATCTCCTCGGTCATCTTGTCCAGGGCACAGTCAGTGTAGGTACCTGAAATCAAATCAATGTTCATTTGTCATATGCACAGGATACACACTACTGTACAGAACATTGACATGCTGACTGGAAGGTTCTCAACACACTACTGTACAGAACATTGACATGCTGACTGGAAGGTTCTCAACACACTACTGTTCAGAACATTGACATGCTGACTGGAAGGTTCTCAACACACTACTGTTCAGAACATTGACATGCTGACTGGAAGGTTCTCAACACACTACTGTTCAGAACATTGACATGCTGACTGGAAGGTTCTCAACACACTACTGTTCAGAACATTGACGTGCTGACTGGAAGGTTCTCAACACACTACTGTTCAGAACGTTGACATGCTGACTGGAAGGTTCTCAACACACTACTGTTCAGAACATTGACATGCTGACTGGAAGTATGCTAGATCCATAAAGAAGAAGTATGCTAATGTGGGTTGGCGGTCTTACCTTTGCCCAGGTAAGACTTTAACCAGTCGATAGCATCCATATTCTTGACAAATTTATCTCTGCTGGTGATCTCACTGAAGAGCTCCTGTGTCTGGGAGAAGTGGAGTCCCCCCATAAACCAGCTGATCTTCACCTGTCTGTTGTACACCTCCTCCCGGAGCCTCAGGGCAAACTCCCTGGTCCACTCTGCCACCCTCTTCACCAGGCTTCCTGGAGGGGGCTGCTGCAGGGCGATGCTCTCAGAGGAGTCCATCACGAAGTATAGGTCAATGGGACACTCAATCACTTCTACAGGAAGATAGAGGACATCATATTATCTGTGTCCCAAATGGCACCCTATTCCCTACATAGTGCACTGCTTTTGAAGCACAGGTCAATGGGACACTCAATCACTTCTACAGGAAGACAGAGGACATCTACTTTCTGTATATAGCCATGTTATTACCTGATCCACCCAAATCATTTTCACAGTATTATAAGGCTGCGTTGAGACAATGACTTATCAATGACCCAAGCCCAGCTCATTTAATCCCTACCACTGTGACGCTGAGTTGGCATAATGCTTCAGCAAATGTACATGATCCCAGGGGCGTGTATATAAATAACCTAATTTATGTCCCTCTTACTGCCTTGAATGTCTCTGCTGATCCTACAGCTATTGCATGCAGTAATCATATGCCTATGAACCAGAGTAATACTGTTATCACTGAGGTGGTGTGCCCTAGTTGGAAGTCCACTGTGTGCAGCTCACCCTGCACTAATAAAAAATAATCAAGTGTCACGAATTCAGCCGAGGCTGCCCCTCCTCCTTGCTCGGGCAGGCTTCGGCGTTCGTCGTCACCGGAGTACTAGCTGCCACCGATCCATGTGTCTATGTTCTACTTGTTTTGTCTGTTTTGGTCTCACCTGTTTCCCATCATGTAGTTATGTCTTCCCTATTTAACCCGCTGGCTCACACTGTGTGTTGTGCGTGTTTGTCCGTGTTTTGGTTGTCGTATGTGAGCGGGTGTTTTCCTCCCTGCGTGGAGGTATGCTCATTAAGATACCTACGAGTAAAGTACGTTTTTCGATTAGCTCTGTGTCCTGCGCCTGATTTTGTCCTACCGCATTACACTGATGCCTTGACACTCTGCTAAGCTTCCCAGTGTAGCAAGAAAAATAATCAAGCATCCCAGAATAGTGTTAAAAATAGCCCACGTTAACATATGTAGTTTAAGAAACAAGGTTCATGAAATCAATAATTTGCTTGTAACAGATGACATTCATATTCTGACGATCTCTGAAACTCACTTAGATAATACCTTTGATGATACAGTGGTAGCAATACAAGGTTATAAGATCTACAGAAAATACAGAAATGCCAACAGTGGAGGTGTTGCTGTTTATAATCAGAACTACATTCCTGTGAAGCTTAGAGAGGATCTCATGTTAAATAGTGTTGAAGTCATACGGCTACAGGTTCACCTGCCTCACCTAAAGCCCATTCTGGTGGTAATATGGCTACAGGTTCACCTGCCTCACCTAAAGCCCATTCTGGTGGGAATCTGCTATAGACCACCAAGTGCTAACAGTCAGTATCTGGATAACAGTTGTGAAATACTTGATAATGTATTTGATATCAATTGAGAGGTATACTTTCTGGGTGATTTAAATATTGACTGGCTTCATCAGGCTGCCCACTCAAGAGAAAGCTTCAAACTGTAACCAGTGCCTGCAACCTGGTTCAGGTTATCAGTCAACCTACCAGGGTAGTTACAAACAGTACAGGAATTAAATCATCAATAATAATAATATGCCGTTTAGCAGACGCTTTTATCCAAAGCGACTTACAGTCATGCGTGCATACATTTTTTTTGTGTATGGGTGGTCCTGGGGATCGAACCCACTACCCTGGTGTTACAAGCGCCATGCTCTACCAGCTGAGCTACAGAGGACCACAATGTATTGATCATATCTCTACTAATGCTGCAGAGATTTGTTGGAAAGCAGTATCCAAATCCATCGGATGTAGTGATCCCAATATAGTAGCCATATCTAGGAAAACCAAAGTTCCAAAGGCTGGGCCTAATATAGTGTATAAGAGGTCATACAATAAGTTTTGTAGTGATTCATATGTTGCTGATGTAAAGAATATTTGTTGGTCTGTGGTGTGTAATGAGGAGCAACCAGATGCTGCACTGGACACATTTATGAAATTGCTTATCCCAGTTACTAATAAGCATGTAACCATTAAGAAAATGACTGTAAAAACTGTTAAATCCTCATGGATTGATGAGGAATTGAAAATTGTATGGCTAAGAGGGATGAGGCAAAAGAGATGGCAAATAGGTCTGGCTGCACAACCGATTGGCAAACATACTGCAAATCAGGGTAGCTGTTTAGGCCCCTTACTTTTTTCAATCTTTACTAACGACATGCCACTGGCTTTGAGTAAAGCCAGTGTGTCTATGTATGCGGATGACTCAACACTATACACGTCAGCTACTACAGCGACTGAAATGACTGCAACACTAAACAAAGAGTTGCAGTTAGTTTCAGAATGGGTGGCAAGGAATAAGTTAGTCCTAAATATTTCCAAAACTAAAGTATTGTATTTGGGACAAATCATTCACTAAACCCTAAACCTCAACTAAATATTGTAATGAATAATGTGGAAATTGAGCAAGTTCAGGAGATTAAACTGCTTGGAGTAACCCTGGATTGTAAACTGTCATGGTCAAAACATATTGATACAACAGTAGCTAAGATGGGGAGAAGTCTGTCCATAATAAAGCGCTGCGCTACCTTCTTAACAGCACTATCAACAAGGCAGATCCTACAGGCCCTAGTTTTGTCGCACCTGGACTACTGTTCAGTCGTGTGGTCAGGTGCCACAAAGAGGGACCTCTGAAAATTACAATTGGCTCAGAACAGGGCAGCACGGCTGGCCCTTGGATGTACACAGAGAGCTAAAATTAATACTATGCATATCAAACTCTCCTGGCTCAAAGTGGAGGAGAGATTGACTTCATCATTACTTGTTTTTGTGAGACATGTTGAATGTACCGAGCTGTCTGTTTGAACTACTGGCACACAGCTCGGACACCCATGCATACCCCACAAGACATGCCACCAGATGTCTCTTCACAGTCCCCAAGTCAAGAACAGACTATGGGAGGCGCACAGAACTACACTGCTCAAAAAAATAAAGGGAACACTTAAACAACACAATGTAACTCCAAGTCAATCACACTTCTGTGAAATCAAACTGTCCACTTAGGAAGCAACAATGATTGACAATAAATGTCACATGCTGTTGTGCAAATGGAATATACAACAGGTGGAAATTATAGGCAATTAGCAAGACACCCCCAATAAAGGACTGGTTTTGCAGGTGGTGACCACAGACCACTTCTCAGTTCCTATGCTTCCTGGCTGATGTTTTGGTCACTTTTGAATGCTGGCGGTGCTTTCACTCTAGTGGTAGCATGAGACGGAGTCTACAACCCACACAAGTGGCTCAGGTAGTGCAGCTCATCCAGGATGGCACATCAATGCGAGCTGTGGCAAGAAGGTTTTCTGTGTCTGTCAGCGTAGTGTCCAGAGCATGGAGGCGCTGCCAGGAGACAGGCCAGTACATCAGGAGACGTAGAGGAGGCCGTAGGAGGGCAACAACCCAGCAGCAGGACTGCTACCTCCGCCTTTGTGCAAGGAGGAGCAGGAGGAGCACTGCCAGAGCCCTGCAAAATGACCTCCAGCAGGCCACAATTGTGCATGTGTCTGCTCAAACGGTCAGAAACAGACTCCATGAGGTGGTATGAGGGCCCGACGTCCACAGGTGGGGGTTGTGCTTACAGCCCAACACCGTGCAGGACGTTTGGCATTTGCCAGAGAACACCAAGATTGGCAAATTCGCCACTGGCGCCCTGTGCTCTTCACAGATGAAAGCAGGTTCACACTGAGCACATGTGACAGACGTGACAGAGTCTGGAGAAGCTGTGGAGAACGTTCTGCTGCCTGCAACATCTTCCAGCATGACCGGTTTGGCGGTGGATCAGTCATGGTGTGGGGTGGCATTTCTTTGGGGGGCCGCACAGCCCTCCATGTGCTCGCCAGAGGTAGCCTGACTGCCATTAGGTACCGAGCTGAGATCCTCAGACCCCTTGTGAGACCATATGCTGGTGCGGTTGGCCCTGGGTTCCTCCTAATGCAAGACAATGCTAGACCTCATGTGGCTGGAGTGTGTCAGCAGTTCCTGCAAGAGGAAGGCATTGATGCTATGGACTGGCCCGCCCGTTCCCCAGACCTGAATCCAATTGAGCACATCTGGGACATCATGTCTCGTTCCATCCACCAACGCCACGTTGCACCACAGACTGTCCAGGAGTTGGCGGATGCTTTAGTCCAGGTCTGGGAGGAGATCCTTCAGGAGACCATCTGCCACCACATCAGGGGCATGCTCAGGCGTTGTAGGGAGGTCATACAGGCACGTGGAGGCCACACACACTACTGAGCCTCATTTTGACTTGTTTTAAGGACATTACATCAAAGTGGGATCAGCCTGTAGTGTGGTTTTCCACTTTAATTTTGAGGGTGACTCCAAATCCAGACGTCCATGGGTTGATACATTTGATCTCCATTGATAATTTTTGTGTGATTTTGTTGTCAGCACATTCAACTATGTAAAGAAACAAGTATTTAATAAGATTATTTCATTCATTCAGATCTAGGATGTGTTATTTTAGTGTTCCCTTTATTTTTTTGAGCAGTGTACATAGAGCCATGACAACATGGAACTCTATTCCACATCAAGTAACTGATGCAAGCAGTAGAATCAGATTTAAAAAACAGATACAAATACGCCTTATGTAACAGCGGGGACTTGAAGCAACAAAAACATAGACACGCATACAAACACACTATAACATATTTTGTGTTATAGATATGTGGTAGTGGAGTAGAGGCCTGAGGGCACACACTTAATTTGTTGTGAAATCTGTTATGAATGTAATGTAATGTTGGCAGCAGCTAATGGGGATACTTCCTGTATATAGCCACGTTATTACCTGGTACTTCCTGTATATAGCCATGTTATTACCTGGTACTCCCTGTATATAGCCACATTATTACCTGGTACTTCCTTTATAAAGCCATGTTATTACCTGGTACTTCCTGTATATAGCGACATTATTACCTGGTACTTCCTTTATAAAGCCATGTTATTACCTGGTACTCCCTGTATATAGCCACATTATTACCTGGTACTTCCTTTATAAAGCCATGTTATTACCTGGTACTTCCTGTATATAGCGACAATATTACCTGG